AGCGAGACAGGCTAAATACCTCGATCCACCCATGGCGGATATCGAAATAATCCGTTGCATCAAGAGACATTTCGACAAGGATGTTTCGCGCGAGATTAAGTGGTCCACCACCAAAAATATATCCGACCTAACTGCAGTCTTAGAAGAAATTCAGGACGAAAGACAGGCAGCTGCTGAAGCTAAAACCGCAAGAGAAAAATCTTCGGAAAAAGCAACCAACAAGAGCGCAACCAAGAAGAAGCAAGACACGGCTACATACAATCGCAGACCACAATGGAACGCGAAGAAAAGTCCATATACCGCAAAGGGAGAGCTCAAAGCACTACCCTGGTACGGACAAAACCAGACGAGAAAATCGAAACCTAAAGTGGAGTTTCCAAATTCTGACAGTGATCAGACCCGGAATAAAAACGCAGCGAAATCAAAGGGAGGCAGAAATGCACAAAAAAACCCGAACTTTGAGACGAAAGCGCCGGGAAAAAAGGGAATTTCATCAATACGGCAGAGAGAACTATCGTCGACAGATCCAATCTCATCTTCGGACGAAAACTCGCAGAGCAGCGAACCGAAAGAGAGATACGAGACCAAACAAGTCTCAATAATGAGAACAAAAAAGATTCTCAAAGATTTGAGCGATGACGACGTCGAAGACAACGACGGACAACCATGTCATCCAATCATCGACTTAAAAGTCGGTAAAACCCAAATCAGTGCATTAATCGACACTGGAGCTGAAATATCAGTGATGTCAAAGAACACACTGGAAAGGCTAACAAAAGCCAGGGAAAATTTAGACAGAATCCCAATTCGCAAATGCAAACTAAAAGGAGCATTTGGCGAGCAGGAACTAACAATCGCCTGCAAAATACAAGTTACACTAGACATCGACGACAAGCAGCTGATTCACGAATTCTACGTAGTGGACAGACTTGCATTTCCGATGGTTCTGGGACACGACATTTTGATCAAATTCAACGCGATAATCAATTATCACGAGGACACATTTGATGTAAAATTCCAAAATGTCGAAACACCTGTCAAGTTAATATCATCAATTAGTAGGAAAGAAAGAAGTAGAATAAACGAGCGCAAACAACTGCTCGATAAGCAGATAAGACAGTTGGAAAAAGAAAAATTACGAACAACCAGAAGAATCGCGAAGAAAAAAGAAAACATCTCAAGGCTAGAAAATAGATTACGCGATCTTAAACTGTCTAAAGAAGAGGACAACCCAAATCAAGAAAATTCCGTCAATAAAACCCCATCGACAAAACCAACAAAGTCAAAAAAAGAAGGGGGCACAAAAGAAAAACAAATCAAAAGAAAACATAGATGGAATAAGAAGACGAATTACAACCAAATAAGTCAAAAACCAAACACCGATAAGAGAAAACCAAGAACAAAGTGGATCCATAGCATCTCATTTAGACCAAAGAGAAAACCTCTAGAAAAATCAAATCTAGAAGGGGGCAATAAAATAAAACCACAACCCAAAAAATCAACAACTTCGAAAAACGAAGGGGGCAAACAAAATGAAACATTGCAAAACAAACAACAGAAAAATCAGCAATGTAATAAATGCCAAGATACAGAGATCCAAGAAATAAAGAACCAAATAAAAAGACTTTATACAAAAGCTGCAAAATTCAATTATCTACGAAAGAAAACTTTCAGAGAAATTGCACAAAAACAACAGTGCATCGAAAAAATGCAGAAACTTAATACCCAACTAAGACAATCACCAATCAAGAAAAATTACCATTGGAGAAAAAATAACAACGTACAATCTCCTAAAACGATAAAACAACAACATAAAGACAATAACCAATCTTCCACCTCAACGTCAGAAGAAACATCAACAGAAACGGAAGCTGACGAAATTATTAACCCGAAACCAAGTACTTCTCGAATAGAAGGGAGCAGCCAGGAAAATAAACAGCAAAAGGCAATAGAACCCGGAATAATAATCGACAAGGAAGTTAATAATAGGTTATTGAAATTAATAGATAAGGCAGAAAAATTGCTTGACGATGAAACAACATCTTCCGAACTAGAAACAACTACGGAATCGTCAAGTGATAGTCCTATCGAGGCAGAAGAAATCATACGATTCTTTCAAGCCAAAGAATCTGAAGAACAGCGACAAAAATCATCAAGATATAACCCTACGCGAAAAGCTTCTAGAAGAGTAAAGACTAGAAGGGGGCGTAGAACAACAAATAAAAATTCCAAGAAAAGGAAAAATAAGAAATAATTCATTTTCCTAACGACCACCTTGTAAATACTTGTAAATACACTAATTATAAGAATAGTAAAATAAGTAGTATTAATTATAAAAATATATTCAGATCTTATATTATAAATGGGCACATAAAAAAACCCAATAATATGTTTCGATTTATTTGAGTTATTTTATCACTTAAGTGAGTAAATTTTTCTTAAATATTATTAACGATCAATAATAACCTTGATGATAGTATTTTTAATTTATCATAATTAATAATAAAAGAGACATCATATAACCCAATTTTTTTTTTTAATTATTATTATTATTATGTCTTTTAACTTACTTAGTATAAGAAAAATGTAAATATAAAATTAGTCATAAGAAATCTTCTAATAAAAATTAGAAGGGGGCAAAAGCCACATATATAATTAATTTAATTATTAAAATTTTCTTAAATATACATATATAGATGTATAGCAATAATATTTTTGTTTAATTTAAAAACACAACAATTATTAAAATAAGTAATTTTTTTTTAATTATCATATGTACAGTAATATTTTAACCATTAGTTACATAGTTATCGCACTAGATATAAGTTTAGCTAAAATTGTTTAACATACAATAATCAATTTAAAATCAAGATAATGATCAATATTTTAACAAATATTTAATTTTAACTGTAGATATACATAGAATTAACATTTTATTTTAACTAAATAACCTTAAGTAAAAAATGTACAATTATATACAGTAGATTTAAGATACTAGAATAAGTTTATATAATAAGATACATAGTTTTAAGTACCGGAAAATCGAAATTCCATTTTTCTCAGATAATAGAGATGGAATTATAAACAGACCTAAAATCAAAGAAAGGAGTCAAACACAACACATTACAATAATTAGTTTCACTCCAACACAAAAAATACAAAAGTCAAAAAAACTTACCTTATAAGTCGATCATCCCAGCGAAGTTGAGTCATCCAACTGCAGAAGGGAAATCCCAGCTTGAAGAACCTACAAAAGAAAAAAGGATAATTAATTCAAAGCAGGACGAAACGGAACAATACTTACCAACAAAAAATCCGGAATCCAGCGAAGACATCAGCTGCGTAGAACTTGAAAAAAGAAAAGAAGAATTAATTATTTCACACATCGAAACGAGTGACAGAAATTATAAATTAACTCGATCACACGAACGATTGATACTGGAAAAAGGAAAACCAGCGAAATATAATTTCATCTCCGGACAGACAACATATATCAACAATAACGGAACTTCCCCAGTCGTATCAAGTGACGCAACGAAGCAGCCGAAAGACCGCGTGGAGGGGGAACCTCAAGCAGACGACGCAGCGTACCGTGACGTCGCGACAACGCGCAACGGCACGTCACAAAGCGACCGCGCATCAATCGAGCAACACGTGCAAATTCGCGAGTGGACAATTTCGACAAGTAAACAAAGAATACCTGTCAAAATGGATAGTGAGTCCGAAACGCTCAACAACCGAGAGCACGAATTATTAGAGTTGTTGCAAGAAGAGCTAAAGCAACGGAAAAATGCGAGAAGAAAGAGACGTATCGCATCGATGGAGAAAGCGCTTAAAGAACTGCGGAAAAGACCAATTACTGATACGGAAAGTGAAGGAGAGGAAATCCTCAACCAACTCAAACAAAGTTTGATTGAGACGAATTCCGAATCCCACACACATGTCGACAAATGCATTCTAGTCAACTATGCAAACGACATTGTAGTGACAGTAACGGGTATGACTAAGATCACATGCAACAAAGGAATCGAGGCATTATCCGATCTTCCGATCACAATCACTCACGAGATCAACGGGAAAAATGCAGCTAAGAAAGTCACAGCTAATTGGGCTGACAAACTTGTTACCGTATTTATGGAAGGCCCCAACAGAAATTCATAATTTACGACAACAAGGATCTACGACCGACGACATCAAAGGAGACCGCATCTGCAAATCAACCCAAGCAGAATCAAATCGCCAGCAAAGATCCAACAACACCTGAAGATCCAAATACAGCGTCTACGCATGAATTAAATATAAGGACGAGTTCAACGAAGAAAAAAGCTGAAGTACTTAATACGATCAAACATAGTACTCTATCCACATCGGTTGCGAAAACACCTAAACGCAACAAAGAATTCAGACGTCCTATAATCATTTCGGAATCTGAAGAGGAAGTGGACGAAAACCAGCCACCGAATCATCAAGATCCGCCAAAAACATCTAGCGGCAAACAAAAAGCTACGCCAGGAATAAGGATCAAGAGCGTGCAAAATGTATCGAAAGAACTTAGATGCTTAATTAAAGATGCAGGAGCTCCCAAAGCGATATTGAAGCGTCGAAATAAAAGTAAGGTCTCATACGTCGAACAGTCTTCTCAGGAATCATCTGACGAAGACAAGATTCAACTAAAAGAGCCTAAGCCGAAAAAGCCAAAGCGACAGAATAGCGCACAGACACCATCGCCTGAGCAGCAATCTGCGGATTCTGATAAGATAATTCCAGAAGAATGCACACATACTCCTGAAATAATCGAAGGGGGTATGCGACCGACCACTGGTCGCGATCCGCAGAAGTCCGCTGCAGTCGAAGCAGGTACAGATATCATCCCAAACGATCCCGAAGGTGAGATGACAACGATCGCAAATACCTTAACGACCCAGGAATAGACTTACCAAATAACCGACCGATGAGCATCTCCATGCAACCAGCAAAGCTACCCATGGTCAGCAAGGTTCTCAGAGAGATCCCATCACCTCAGGAACGACAGTCACCTGAAAAATGTAAATATGTACATAGCGTAATTAGATCAGTAAGATTAGGTTAAGCGATCGCGTCCATACATTTTTATTTACGATGCAACTTGAAAGGACGATTGCATTGGATTCACACTTGCAATAAATAAATAAACTAAAAACCGCGTTAACCAGAACTCCAGCGCAAATGACTAACGAAGGCAAAATCGCAAGATGCGATAAAGGTACGTTGAAACTACGATCATTAGTCAAAATCATTTAGAAGTCAAATACAAGTGTGAACCCGGAGCAAATGACTTTCCAAAGTTATTTTTTAGTTTTTCTCAATTTTATTTACCGAAAAGTCAAGCGATGACTTGGACGCTTAATTATAGGTTATAATAAAATATAATATAAAAATACAAAAACATAAGATAAAAACTAACCCTAAAATCGTCTCAGCGAACATCCGAATGAACAAAGGTCTAAATCGGGTTCCCGATGATCTGGAACCCTATACTCAATCGAAACCTGAGTCTTCACTCAAACACGGATATACAAAAAGTTAAATGGCATCCTAAGTCAATTTTGGACATACGCCCAAAATAGAGGATGTAATAATAATCTACATTCGACCCATATCGGATGCCCGCTGAGCCGAACGCAATAAGAAATAATAAATATATATAAATATATAATTAAACATATTCTCTTAACTGGAGTAGGCGTATAACCGACATGCCAATTCCTACCATCGAATAAACGAGCCTCCCGAATGATAAGAAACTGACTTTATGTTTGTTTACTTGTAAATAATTATTTACTTATATTTTTATTTTAGTTGATTATTCGAGACATTCGTTTAGGCGTGGATGAACTTGTGGCGATAAATTATCATAACGATCTATTTTAGTTATTTACGAAACACCCACAAGAATAATTTATGTTATTATTTATTTGATAAGTTATTTAGCATGTTTATGCGATAGCGATCCTGTCCCGAGCATCAGGACACGATAATAAAGTGATAACCAAAAAATGGTTAAAAAGGAACTCTTGTCGAGCGCACCTTACATCAACAAAATGCGAAATAGGAACTCTCGCTGAACCCGCGCTACACTACCGCGCAGCGATTCGCGCTGAGCCCAGTGGTGGGGCGGCGCTCCGCGATTGGCCGGCGGGCCAAAGGAAGGGCAAGCGCGAAGCGCACGGACGACTATATAAGTCGGGAGCGATCATCCCTCCACACAGTCGTACATGTGCGAGAGCGTCGACACAGTCACACAGTCGTACGCATATCGTGATCCGGGGTAGTACGAGTGACAGTCGTGCTAATACCGAGTCCGGGCTTCTAGCACCTACGTGTGCGTAAGCTAGTGCGACTTGTCCGGGACAATACTGTCTCGTTATATTCGATCGATCAGTGTATTCGCGTGCAACTGCTAGACAAGCTTCGGTAAATCTAGTCCGCGATAAAATCACGACCGATACGAAAACCGTATATCAAACGCGCAAACTCATAGGCGGCATGAGATGTGCTGCAAGCGATTCCTTCGCGAGTGTTTGTAAACGGTAAATTAACCGTCGTGCGGTTAACAAGCGTGTGTAAATCGTAGCCATTGTACAGAGTTTAAGCTGAGGACGCTATTGAATAAACATTCTTAGTGAAACCTAAAAAACAGTGATCTGTTACTGACCTACGTATCCGTTTCCCACGTCGATTCTCCATCGGGTGTGAATCCGTATCCAGGGCGTAGAAATAGTCCGTCGGTATCCTGAAATCAAAGGAGAAAAATCAATAAGTCAAGTTCCTGCGAATTTCCATTGTTCGCACTCACCTGACGCAATACAGACTTGCGTCGCAGCGGCGGCCATCTTCAAAGGACGGCGCGGCACACATCAAGGACGACTCGAGCCTGGCGGCATCATTGAGCGTACCTACAACAAAGGAACATTTTGGCTACCACCACCTTCTTACTTATTTAGGTTAAAGTAAGTGGCGACCATCAAAGGTGAAAGCGGGACGTCTGTTGACTGGTAAGTCGGACGGAGGGCCAATTCTCTCAACACCGTTCGGTCACATCATGACGTCCAAGCGATGTGCGAGCGGGACTTTTACCAGGAAGCGATCGTCGTTGGCAGCCCACTTCCTAAGCGGGAAGCCGCCCGCCGTACAGAGCGCGGCCACCTGGTCCAGGAGGTCGTCCGCTGCATCCAGGGTGGCGGCTCCGGTGAGTACATCGTCCATGTAGACATCCTGGCGCAGTACATCGACGCCCAGCGGAAACCTCGTCGTTCGCGAGTTGATGGAGCACGCGGATGGCGAGGTACGGTGCGCTTGCTAGGCCGTACGTCACGGTATTCAGCTGGAATTCCTTGACCTCATCTCCCTCTGTCCACAGGATCCGCTGCAAGTCCCGGTCGTCGCGGTGCAGCTGTATCTGACGATACATCATCTTGATGTCGGCGACAAAGACATAGCGGTGTCGCCGCCAGCGAGTCAAGGTGTCGGCTAGCGACGGCAGCAAGTTACGTCCGGTGAGCAGCCAGTTGTTCAGTGACGACCCGCCGCCAGTACGCGCCGAGCCGTTAAACACCACCCGGATCTTGGAGGTCGTGCTTGAGCTCCGTAGCACCCCGTGGTGAGGCAGGAAGCAGATGCTGGCACCTGGCGAGAGCGACGCGGCTGAGACAGGCGACATGTGTCCGAGTGTCAGGTACTCGTTCATGAAGTCGCGATACAGTAGACCGAATTCGCGATCTTGAATGAACCGACGCCTCATGACGTCGAGGAGCCGTGACGCGGCGCGGCGCGTGGAGCTGAGATCCGGCAGCCCCGGACGGAACGGGAGTCGCACCTGATAGCGACCGTCTTCAAGTTGCACGTGGGTGCGCACAAAATGGTCCTCGCACTCCTGTTTGTCAGCGGTCAGCGGCAAGGCGGCACGAGGAGGCTCTTCGGTCTCCCAGAAGCGGCGCACGAGAGCTACTAGGTCGTCCCCCGTGGAGCATTGTAGAGACGACACGGGAGCCGCGACGTGACCGGCTCCAACGACGCCCAGCAGCACCCAGCCAAAGCGAGTCAACAGAGCACCGGGCTCGCGTGGTCCTCCTCGGCGAAAGCCCTCCGGCAGAGCGAGGTCCAGATAGACATCGGCGCCAAGCAGCAACTCCACAGCATCCCGGCGGTGAAACTCCGGGTCTGCAAGCTCGAGACCGTCGAGGTGAGGCCAGGAACGGGCCTCGCCTTCCGAGGTTCCGCCGTACACCGTGAGGCGTGGGAATACAAGCGGCGAGACGGCGAGCGCAAAGTGTCCATCGCGAGAGGAAACGGTGGCGGTGATCCGTCCGTGAGTGACGCCCGTCTGGATGCCTCCCACTCCAAAAATGGCCACTGACGATGGGGTCCGCGGGAGCCGAAGTCGCTGCGCCAAGGATTCCGCTATCAGCGAGGTTTCTGAGCCCGGGTCGATCAGCGCGCGGACCGCATGCCGTGTACCCACGCGGTCGGCCACGAATACACGGGCAGTTGCCAGAAGCGCCGGTCCACACTCCCGCGGTGGTCGCCTCGCGACGTGGACCGTCGCCGTTGAAGATGAGGATGCAGTCGCAGGTAAGGCCACAGCCGCAAAGGCGTCGTGCAACGTCGTGTGATGCCGGCCTGAGCATGTAGCGCACGCCTTGTGCAACTTACAATCGGCCAGCAGGTGACGACCCAGGCAGTTCCAGCACCGCTAGTGAGTGTTGATGGCTTCCCGTTTCTCGCTAACCGTCTTCTTCTTGTACTGCTCACAATAAGCAATAAAGTGATCTTTTTTGCAGAGTGGACAGCTGCGGTTCGGATCAGGCCCCCTGGTACCCACATGGCTGCTGCGAGAGGAGCGGCTGGACTTCTCCGTTGGCTTGGCAGGCGCTACGGTCTTTACTGACTGGAGGACCTCCCAGGTCATCAGTTGTTCCTGGAGGAACTCCCGGAGCTTGTCGTAGGACGGAGGCTCCGACGACCTTCCGAGGGAGCTCTCCCACTCACGACGAGTTTCAGCGTCCAGTAGCTCGACGACCAGGTGGACGAATAGATCTGTGCAGTCGGAGATCGGGCGCCCGATGCCCTTCAGTGCACCGACTGTCGTGAGTACGCCGTGGAACAGTCGGCGTAGTCCATCAGCTGACGGGGCCTTCAATCGCGGCAGCGAAGTGAAGGCTGTCAGGTAGGATCTGACCAGTAAACGTTTATTTTCGAAATACGTAGTCAATAATTCCCACGCATCCTCCAAGTTTTCTTCAGTAGAAGGCAGGTTGCGAATCAGCTGTTCAGCATCACCCTTTACGCTGGTTTTCAGGTAATGCAGCTGTTCAATCTTCGTCAAGGACGCGTCTCCTAGGACCATGGAGCTGAACAGATCTCGGTAGGCTGGCCAGTCCTCGAACTTGCCGCTAAACTGCGGTAGATTGATCCGCGGTAAGGTTCGGCGGGACGGAGCCGTCTTTCGGACCCGTTCGCCGAGGGCGGGCCCCGCAGGTTCGGTGAACTGCTCCTCCAGTCCGGCGAGTTCGGAGCGCTGCCCATAATACGCCATCTCAACCTTGCTGAGGAGGTCCTCGGTGGTGTACTTCTCCCGCTTGATCTCCTTTCAGAAGTGGGCGCGGAGCTCTTCATGTTGTTCCGTGAATTTGACCCATTTATCGTCCAGGACGCGGATTGCAGCCTGGACAGTGTGGGCGTTCAATTTGCTCGCCCTGATCTTCTTCAAGTTCTCCACGCTACGCAGTATGCGTAGGTAGAGCTCATGCTGAGCGTCGATCATTTGATCCATGTCCATTTTCTTTGTCACAGGTCACTGGACACTCACACGGTCACGAAGCACGCACTCACCCCGACGGCGAAGTTCAATAGGTGCCGGGCGCGACAAATTAACGACCTGTCGATGATCCGGCTCGAAGGACCAGCAAATGTGCAATATTCGGTGCTACGCGGAGTGATTATAGTTAGTGCGCGGACGCGAGTGTCAAGTTTGGGACGGCACCGAAAAAAAAAGAAAATAAAGAAAGTTTACGGCACACAATATATTTTTACAAATAATTATACAATACAAAAGAAATGCTCTAATGCAAGCGAACTGCAATTAGAAGCGTGCAATGATTGCCGGAAGTGCAATCCAACGACAAAATCGATCTCCCACGAGAAGTGCGACGAAAATCGAGAAGAGAAAAAAGTAACGCTGTCTGTACGCGCGAACGACTGTACGACGATAGATCCGTTCGACAAGAGAGAGCGTGAACCAACGTGATTGTTTTCTACCGACCTTCGAGAGAGTTCCGAGGTAAGGAACACCGTGTTTGTGTTCCTTCCACATAATGATAGAATCCTCTCGAATGTCGGAGGGCAAAATCACTTGTTGTCGTCGGTTTTATGTTTGTTACGATACGGTTACCTGTCACCGTTCAAACGACAGGTATTGCGAGCGTTAAAGACGCGCGCGGTCTTGCGATATGGCGGGGCGCGTTCGCCCGCGATTGGCGCACGGAGATTTAGTGCGAATCGTCGCGCCAAATTCGAGCGGCTATTTTCAGCGCAGTTAGCTGCGCTTGTTGCAAGGCGCAGAATGCACTCCGAGATGCATTCACACACACACACACACACACACCCACACACACACACACCACACACACACACACACACTCTCTCTCTCTCTCTCTCTCTCTCTCTCTTTCTCCAATCCGCAACACTCGCACTAGGTCCCATCCTGAGCAAGAGAGATTTAATTCTCTTGCCAAAAAGGGACCACCGAGAAAACAGCCTCTAAATAGCGTATAGTGACACTCCCGGTTACTGACCTATTTCGGCCTTCGCACCTTCGCTCGGCTCGAACAAACGCACCGCCAAACGTTGTTTGAGGACTAAGTATTGTTGCGTCCTTCCTTCGACTCTTTCTTTAATTGAGTCTGGACGTAACATTTATATATATATGTATAATTATATACATATATAATATATAATATATAATATATATATATACATATATATATATATATGTTGAGAGAACTATATATATATATATATATATATATATACATGTTGAGAGAAACGCGAGATCCGGCACTGGCGACGTCGAAATATCTCAAGGTAAATAGAAAAGTGATCTGAGGAGAACTTTGTCGTATTAATCGATTTATTCTGATCGAACGCTGAGAGACGACTGCTGCCGTCGGCGAACGGCAGTTCGTGAATTTTGACAAACAAGTATAAAGAGAGGGAACAGTTTTGACAGATTTATAATATCTAGAGTACAGAAATATAAAGAAGAAAATACATATAAATATATAGAGGACATAGGTGTCCTTTGTAATGTGAACGCGAAAACAACAAAAAAAGCGCGCAAATAAGTACGCGGAGAACGGTATCTATAGAAATTAGCGCGATAGCATTTACCGAGAATATTTGCTTAAAATTCGACTTTTCATAACGGCCGTTTTCGAGAAATTTAGGAAGATTTATATTTTCTTAAACTCAATGACGAATATTATTAAATTCGACGATACAGATTTCAAAATACAATATTAAATTAAATCGGATCTAATTGTGCTTATAATGATTTGTCCGAACATTCCGCCCGCCTTGTCTACTCGTAGTAGACGAAATATTGAACTGAGATATACGAGCGGTTAGCGGAAAGTCTTTGTATAGTCTATTAATTGTCTATCGGCAATAAACACAGTTTGACGATTGGTCGCTTGAAACTTGAGGTATCTGCCTTCACTGTGGCGACATGAATGAGTCCGTCAACTCCAGGGTGCACGTCGGTAATGCGTGCGAGAGGCCACTTGCATGGAGGAAATCGTTCGTCTTTAATCAGAACGAGAGAGCCTTTTTTGAAAGCATCTTGAGGTCGTTGTCGTTTCGAGATAGTTTGCAACTGCTGCAAGTATTCTGACGACCATCGTTGCCAGAATGATTCTTTCAGTTGCTGTAGGAGTTGCCAGCGCGACAATCGATTTTGCGGCACTCCGTCAAGCGAAGGTTCCGGCACGGTAGCGAGAGTTGATCCAACGAGGAAATGTCCAGAGCGGAAAGGTCCGACGGATCATCAGAGAGAGTAATTAGCGAGCGCGAATTTAATATCGCCTCGATTTGCACGAGAAGCGTTGTCAGTTCCTCGTAGGTGAGGAGAGCGTCGTCGAGAACTCGCCGCAAGTGAAATTTGACGGATTTCACCCCGGCTTCCCATTTTCCTCCAAAATGGGAGGTAGAGGGTGGATTGAATTTCCACCTCACTCCGTCATTTGCGAGAACATTAGCGATGTGAGCCCACTCGCGAGAAGAAAACGTGAACATTCGTTTGAGCTCTGCGTCGGCACCGATCAAATTCGTGCCACAGTCGCTGGTCAGAGTAGAGCAGATGCCTCGCCGTCCGGTGAATCGCCTGAATGCCGCCAGAAAACCGTCCGTAGAATAATCAGTGGCGACTTCTAGGTATATCGCAGACGTGCTGAAACAGATAAAAATGACGAAATATCCCTTGTATGTTTTGCAACTTCGTCCTCGAAAAGTTTTGAGAGTCAATGGGCCGGCATAATCGACTCCAGAGTTTACGAACGGTCGGCACGGAACGACACGTGATACTGGGAGCTGTCCGACAGCTTGTTGACCCATAGTAACACGATGGCGAGCACAGATAACGCATTTGTGGATGAAAGCTCTAATAGGAACGCGACCGCCGATGATCCAGAATTTTTGACGAATCGATGATAGCGTGAGTTGTGGTCCGCCGTGTAGAGTCTTTCGATGATAATGATCCATCAGGAGAGTTGTTAAGCGACATTCTCGAGGTAAGATCAGAGGATGTTTTTTCTGCTGAATTGAGTTGTGACCGGAGTAAACGTCCGCGTAAACGCAACAGTCCATTGTTGTCGAGAAATGGCGTTAAACGGTGGAGCGAGCTCGAGGTTGAGAGTGATCGTTGATTCTTCAAACTTTTGATCTCGGTCGAGAAGTAAAAATGCTACGTAAGTTTGACCCACAGCATTAGAGCGGATTCTAACTCTTCGACGGTGAGAGGCTCAAGATATGAGCGTGATGTGACTGATTTGCGGAAGAATTGTAGAGCACGCTGGACCCATGCGGTTATTCTGTGGAGAGTCGTCAGCGATGAATATTGATCGAGCATAGAGAGATTGTGCTCATGATTTTCAACTGCAGTTGTACACTGCGAAGATCGTTCTTCGAGGTTGTCCGTAGATTCGAGACTCGGAGTTGAAGACGGCCAAGATGTGGAATGCGTGTGTAGCCAATGAGGGCCGGTCCACCAGAGGTCTTGTTGAAGACGCTGAGGCGTTACGCCTCGTGATGCGAGATCGGCGGGATTCTCTTTCCCGGAGATGTGATGCCATCTAGAGTTTGAGAGCTCTTGAATAAAAGAGACGCGATTACGCACGAAGTCTTTCCATTGAGATGGAATTTGACGCACGAGTAGCACTGCAGCTGAGAGTTCGAGTCGCAGTATAGTCATTCTTTTGAGAGGAGTCACTTTAGTCTTTGAGCAGATGAGTTTCACTTGAGCGTTGTCAATGTCACTAAAAACGCGAAGATAAACGACAGCGGCGATTGCACTTTGAGACGCGTCCGCGAAACCGTGCACTTCCACGGCGAGATTCGAAGCATTTGTACCGAACCAGCGCGAGATAGAGATACGAGAGATGTATTCGAGTTGAGTGACGTAGCTTGTCCATCGTGATTTCAAAATGTCTGGGAGTTCGTCGTCTCAGTCGAAACGTATAGCCCACAATTCCTGCATGAACATCTTTGCGGTAACTGTGACAGGCGTAATCCACCCGAGTGGATCAAACATGCGCGCAATGAGCGATAGCACTGAGCGTTTCGTAACGCGATTGTTCGAAATTGTGAGCGACGGCGGTGAAAACACGAAACTGTCTGATTGGTGTTCCCAACGCACACCGAGAGTATGATGTATCGCACTGTCGTTGACCGAGAGCGTAGAGGATGTTTTGCGATCACAAGCAGGAATTTCGTCGAGCAGATTTGGGTCGTCTGAGATCCATTTTTTGAGAGTGAATCCGCCCGCCGTGAGCGTCTCTTAATTGTGAGATTTTTTCCTTCACCCGAGCGATACTTTCTTCGCCGGAGAGAACATCGTCGACATATGTGTCGCGACGAAGAATTTCGGTAGCGTGAGAGCGTATCAGATCGGATTCGAGAGCAAGTTGCTGCAAACAGTGTAGCGCGAGATATGGAGCACACGCGAGGCCGTACGTTACTATGCACAATGTATATTCTTGAGGCTTCTCATCGGGAGAGTCTCGCCAAAGAATTTTTTGTAACGGCCAATCTTCTTCGTGTACGCGGATCTGCCGATACATTTTTTCGATGTCGGCCGCGAACACGTATCGATGCCGTCGCCAACGGAGTAAAATGTCCGCGAGATCCGGTTGCAGTTTCGGCCCGATAAAAAGACACTCATTTAACGAAAATCCGCGATTTGTCTTTTGCGATCCGTTGAACACGACGCGGAGTTTTGTTGTCGTGCTGGTTTCACGCGTAACACCGTGATGCGGGAGAAAAAACTCGCAAGATTGAGCGCAATTAGAAGTCGCGACGAGACGCAGGTGATCGAGAGAGCGATACTCACGTAAAAAGTCGATATATTGACTTCTGAGCGATGAATTTGATTCGAATCGTCTTTCCATGCGATGCAACGTCTTAAGTGCGATAGAGCGAGAGTCATCAAAATCACTTACACTTTTTTGGAGAGGCAGGCGTACAACGAATCGTCCGTTGACGTCGCGAGAATGAGTCGCTTTGAAATGTTCTTCGCACTGAGATTCTTCTGGAGACATTGAGGCTTGAGATGCAGGCGCAATTTCTTCTTGTGCCCAGAAGCGTTGGAGGAGCTCGAGGAGCTCAGAGTCGAGAGAGCACTGAAGACCGATGATTGAGTTGCGTTCCATGGCGTTGGTCTTCGGACTATCGTTAGAGAGGGGCCCTGACAGCACCTATCCGAGAGTCGTTCTTTGAGCGATGGGTTCGCCGATTTTTCCTCGACGAATACCCTCTTTAAGTATTTGAGCGTACGCATTTGCTCCGAGTATGAGATCGATTTTTTCGGGCGTGGCAAAGTTTGGATCCGCGAGCTTGAGACCATGAATGTGCGGCCACTGAGTATATTCAACACGCGTGGAAGGTAGATAGGCTGTTAATTTCGGTAGTACGAGAGTATCAATTTCGAGAGAAATTTCTTTATGCACTTGAGAGATCACTGTGAGAGAAACGAGTCCGTTTGATACGCTTGAGCGTTGAGCACCGATGCCGAAAATCGGAATAGCCGCGGCGCGACGCGAGAGCTTTAACAATTGCGCGACCGATTCCAAGAGAAAAGAGACTTCTGATCCTTGATCGAGAAGTGCTCGCACTTGATAAAGATCTCCGGTTGATGAGATGACGTTTACGAGAGCGGTGGCTAAGAGAACCGGAGTCCGACGGATTACTCGCGATTGAGCAATGTGACTTGATGTCGCTGAGTTTGAGACTTGCTTGGTACTCAGTTGAGAAGTTGCAGAGAGTGGAAGAATACTTGCACTATGAGTTGCCGGCGGAGATGATGTGGCGACAGACGTCGACGAGTTTGAGGATGCATCTGATGCACCAATCGCTGTGTTACCGGCTTGATTATGGAGAATAGAGTAATGTTGCTTGTGGCAGAGACGGCAGCGCTTTGTTGAGCGACACGATTTCATTTGATGAGGCTCGAGACAGTTAAAGCATAGACTTTTTGCAATGATTACTTCCTTTCGCTGCACGGGTGTCTTTTCGAGATACTTAGGACACGAGGAGATGTAATGTCCCGATAAACACAACGCGTACTTTTGCTCAGACACAGCAGCGGTATATGCACGAGCGTTAGCTTGAGGTCTTGACGGATTTGCATGTTGTTTCCGAGAAGTCGTTCGTTCGAAGGCTTCGAGAGTGAGAATACGACCGAGAAGAAATTTCTCGAAGTCGGCGAACGATGGTGCTTTCGATGTGGCTCCGAGTGATTTTTCCCACTTTTTTACAGATTCGGTGTCTAACTTGCGCACTGTCATAAAGATGAGAATAACATCCCAGTGATGAACTGGGCAGCCCAATGTAGCAAGGGCTCCGATGGCTTCTTTCAGCTCGCAGAGAAGGCGTTTCACTTCCGATGCACATTCGGTTTTTGCCTTGCGAATCGAAAACAGTGCGGAGAGCTGAGCATCCATGAGGATACGCTTATTGTCGTACCGGGCAACAAGAGTATCCCATGCGCGATTAAATCCTTTGCTCGATATCTCGACGCCTTTCAAGAGTGTAGCCGGCTCATCCGATAGGCTCATTTTTAAATAATGAAGTTTCTCGACAGCAGAGAGATCGGTATTCGCGTTGATCATTGATGAAAAGAGATCTCTGAAATAATTTCACTGCGAATAATCACCGTTGAATTTCGGTAGATCGATGCGAGGCAAACGTCGAGAATGCGATGCGGACGATGAATTCATAGAGTTGTCGGTTATATTCTGTTGAGCTGGTGGTTCAAAACTGTCGAGGAGATAGTGAGCATTGTGCCCTGGGCTTCGACAAATTTTTCGTCGCATTGCTCATAAACCTTATCGACATAATAGTCCAGCTTTTTAAATTCTGGCGATCTCAGCTTGTATAAGTTTTTGTGTAACGCTTGGAATTTTTCCCAATTCGATTTTAAACTCGCTAAGCGACTTTGTACAGTACCACGGGTGGTCTTAGAAAGACCGAGCTCTTGTAGATTCTCGCAAGCGCGAGCGATGAGGCCGAAAAGCTCATACTGGCGATCGAGAAGAGCCTCGAGAGTCAGTCTGTCGAGATTTAATAATGAGAAGTTCAAGAGTCACTGCACACACTCACAGTTACACTTTGCGCAAAATTGATAAGTCACTTAGTTTGATCGCGGTGAGAGATATTCAACTTTATTGTCACACGCGATATAGAGATGCGAGTAGCCGTGATAGATAGAAGAATCGATAAACGCGACGAATCACTTTCCGAGAATTACTTAAATCTCGAGAATTTCGGTAAAGAGAGAGCGCGAACTACGCCCGCGATTCGCGAATCCGGCTCGAAGGACCAAAAAAAAATGTTAAGAGAAACGCGAGATCCGGCACTGGCGAAATATCTCGAGGTGGATAGGAAAGTGATCTGAGGAGAACTTTGTCGTGTTAATCGATTTATTTTAATCGAACGCTGAGAGACGACTGCTGCCGTCGGCGAACGGCAATTCGTGAATTTTGACAAACAAGTATAAAGAGGGAGAACAATTTCGACAGATTTATAATATCTAGAGTACAGAAATATAAAGAAGAAAATACATATAAATATATAGAGGACATAGGTGTCCTTTGTAATGTGAACGCGAAAAAAGCGCGCAAATAAGTACGCGGAGAACGGTATCTATAGAAATTAGCGCGATAACATTTACCGAGAATATTTGCTTAAAATTCGACTTTTCATAACGGCCGTTCTCGAGAGATTTAGGAAGATTTATATTTTCTTAAACTCAATGACGAATATTATTAAATTCAACGATACAGATTTCAAAATACAATATTAAATTAAATCGGATCTAATTGTACATATAATATAATGATTTGTTCAAACAATATATATATATATATATATATATGCTAATTGACGCAAACAATATGATTCCAAATCGTCCATAACCATGTCAAACAAAATTGGAGACAAAGGAGATCCCATCGGCGAACCGAAAACCTGTTCGTAAAATTTAACGTCAAAAACGAAATTCGTTGAGTGCATAACTATGTCAATGGCGTGTAAAAACAGCGCAAAGTTAAATGAAGTAAATTGTGAGATGTCATCCCATCGGTTTTCTATTGCTATTTTAATTAATTTCTACGGGGTGTTAGTAAAAAGTGAAGTCACGTCCAACGAAATCATAACATGACTATTATCAATGTTTTTATCTTTAATGATTTCCACAAAGGACCAACTATCCTTGATATGAGATCGAGGTTTTTTGACTGCATTTTGCAGTATCTCACTCAAAAAGGATGCAATGTTATAAACAGGACTTCCTACCGTTGAAATTATGATACGAAGAGGGTAACCTACCTTATGGATCTTTGGTAAACCATAGACACGAGGCAAATTACCATTAGTACACCTCAAATGTTTGTATGTGGTCTTATCTATGAGTTTATTGTCTAACCAAGATTTTAACAAAGCAGAAATTTTCGCGTTCAGTGCATTTAGTGGAGTCTTATTGAGTGATCTATAAGTGGAAACGTCTTTCAATAAATAATTCATTTTCTCTACATAGTCCGTCCGACTCATCAACACAGTAACCTGGCCCTTATCAGCTTTTGTTACAAAAATATTTTTGTTTGATTTCAAAAATTTTGAGCAATCAGAATATCTATTACAAATGTATCTATCCATGTACCCCATATGTTTTTGTCTACTCAAAAACTTGTGTACCAAGCTCGCTATCGACAATCTCACATTATCAAGGTTATCCTTGGGAAACTTTTTATGATTGACTTCAAAATTTTTTATATTTTCCAATGCGGAGATTTTCCTATCGTTTTTATTATTTCTACAAATGGGCACACCAAACTTATCACCTAAACTTAAAAAATTCATCAATGAATCCGGAACGCGACAATTACTAATATTCACAATCCATTTACTATAATCTATTTTTATCAATGGATTGCGAACCCCATAATACTTTCGACTGATATATTCAAATTTGTTTCTTAGACGCAACTTTTCACTCTTATATTTATGGAGGATATGCCTATTATGATCAAAAAAGCCGACAACAAACTCAAACGGTAAATTATCAAACAATCGTTTCTCGGTATAATTCAAATTGACACGCAAGACACGTAATTTACAATTAATATCATTTATCTCTAAGTTTAATAAAGCAACTTTGTTACGATGCTGAAGAAGTAGCCATTTACGTGTAACGCTTCTGCTATGAAAAATAGTTGATTTACTTGCTGTATTATTGTTAATATGCGGAGGTAAAATATCCATCCACACAATCCAAGGATTATTATTTGTTTTATTACACCGAGACCTTACTATGGTGGATGTACAAAGAGGCTAATTCAAGTATGTGGCGGAGAAATTCAGTATGCAAATGTCGGTGATGCTTAAATCGTGGATCAAGACCAAGAAGAACATTTGTAAATCATACCAACAACTGATATTTTTACTCCGTTGCAGACGGATGGATATTTTACCTCCGCATATTAACAATAATACAGCAAGTAAATCAACTATTTTTCATAGCAGAAGCGTTACACGTAAATGGCTACTTCTTCAGCATCGTAACAAAGTTGCTTTATTAAACTTAGAGATAAATGATATTAATTGTAAATTACGTGTCTTGCGTGTCAATTTGAATTATATCGAGAAACGATTGTTTGATAATTTACCGTTTGAGTTTGTTGTCGGCTTTTTTGATCATAATAGGCATATCCTCCATAAATACGATAAGAGTGAAAAGTTGCGTCTAAGAAACAAATTTGAATATATCAGTCGGAAGTATTATGGGGTTCGCAATCCATTGATAAAAATAGATTATAGTAAATGGATTGTGAATATCAGTAATTGTCGCGTTCCGGATTCATTGATGAATTTTTTAAGTTTAGGTGATAAGTTTGGTGTGCCCATTTGTAGAAATAATAAAAACGATAGGAAAATCTCCGCATTGGAAAATATAAAAAATTTTGAAGTCAATCATAGAAAGTTTCCCAAGGATAACCTTGATAATGTGAGATTGTCGATAGCGAGCTTGGTACACAAGTTTTTGAGTAGACAAAAACATATGGGGTACATGGATAGATACATTTGTAATAGATATTCTGATTGCTCAAAATTTTTGAAATCAAACAAAAATATTTTTGTAACAAAAGCTGATAAGGGCCAGGTTACTGTGTTGATGAGTCGGACGGACTATGTGGAGAAAATGAATTATTTATTGAAAGACGTTTCCACTTATAGATCACTCAATAAGACTCCACTAAATGCACTGAACGCGAAAATTTCTGCTTTGTTAAAATCTTGGTTAGACAATAAACTCATAGATAAGACCACATACAAACATTTGAGGTGTACTAATGGTAATTTGCCTCGTGTCTATGGTTTACCAAAGATCCATAAGGTAGGTTACCCTTTTCGTATCATAATTTCAACGGTAGGAAGTCCTGTTTATAACATTGCATCCTTTTTGAGTGAGATACTGCAAAATGCAGTCAAAAAACCTCGATCTCATATCAAGGATAGTTGGTCCTTTGTGGAAATCATTAAAGATAAAAACATTGATGATAGTCATGTTATGATTTCGTTGGACGTGACTTCACTTTTTACCAACACCCCGTGGGAATTAATTAAAATAGCAATAGAAAACCGATGGGATGACATCTCACAATTTACTTCATTTAACCTTGCGCAGTTTTTACATGCCATTGACATAGTTATGCGCTCAACGAGTTTCGTTTTTGACGGTAAATTTATGAACAGGTTTTCGGTTCGCCGATGGGGTCTCCTTTGTCTCCAATTTTGTTTGACATGGTTATGAACGATTTGGAATCATATTGTTTGCGTCAATTGGATTTTGAGCCCTATTGTTATTTTAGGTATGTCGATGATATTTTTTCAATTATTCCGAAAAGAAACATGGAGGATGTGCTTAGAATTTTCAATGGTTTTCACACTCGACTTAAATTTACGTTCGAACTAGAGAACAATTGTTCTCTGAGTTTTTTAGACACAAACGTTATACGTTTTGGGGGCAAATTGACGACTAATTGGTTCCGTAAGCCTACGTTTTCAGGCCGTTATATAAATTTTCTATCGAATTATCCGATGAGATATAAAATCAGTGTGATTACAAGCCTAGTGGATAGGGCTATTTTACTCGCTGACCTTATGTTTCACGAAGAAAACATTAATATAGTCAAAAGAATTCTTCGTAATAATTGTTACCCGTCAACAGTTATAAACAAAAACATTAACAAAAGACGTAGGGCGATTAAATTTGGCGCTAATCTTAGCTCGTCCAACCGAAATAAATTTGATGCACGAAATAGTATAGTGTTGCCTTACATTAGAGATTTGAGCGAGAATATTACGCGTTGCATTAATAAAAATGGAATTAATGTATTATATATTGTTCCAAAAAAAATTAGACACACTGATAAAAAGAGGAAAAGATAGGATTGACAACTTAAAAAGAACCGATGTCGTGTATAAAATTGAATGTGCGAATTGTAATTCTACGTATATTGGACAAACAAAGAGACATTTAGAAACGCGCATCAAAGAACATAGAAATAATATCAAAAGACACGACATTGCATTCAGTCGTTAGTTTGCATCGGACTTGCAACGATTATGAGTTCCGTTGGGATTCTCCGGTGATCTTGCATCAAGAAAAACAAACAAGAAAAAAAGAAATTGCAGAAATGTTTTATATAAAAAAACAACGTAAAAGCATTAATTTACAGAAAGATACGGAGATTTTCATTGGGATTTATGATCGTGTTCTTGACGCTATTTAAATTATTTTTATTTTTATATTTACCTATTTATTTATTTATTTGACTTTGTTATGACGTTTTAAATTGCGAAAGACACATTAGTTTTGTCTCTATTTTCTTAACGCGTAGTGACTAAGATTCTTGCTAACAGTCAACATCTATTTATTTCTTGCTTACTTCTGTCAGTTTTACATTGTTCTTCAAAACAATGGTAAATATTGTCGGTAGTTTGCAGTGAATTTGATTTACTGTATTAATTTGGTATGTAGCATATTTTTGGTTTTTGAATGTATAATTATTTGTAGCGATGAAGTGTATTAAAATTATGATTATTTTTATGTAACTTTTTATAGATTTACTTGAAAAGGGCTGCAATGACAGCCAAAACGTTGTATTTCAACTAATTATTTATAATACGAGGTGTGTTCAAAAAGTATCGCGAATTTTGAATTTCCGCGGGTTACGTATATTCGATTTTCGATTTTTTTGTGGCGTTATGTTGGTACTCATGTTTCTCATTTATGCCGACAAGTACGGCCATTTTGAATGTTCAGTTAATTTTTGACAGCTGCTTTGCTTGCACGTGTTTTGGCTCGTCTTCGATTTTTGCCTATTCAAAAAAATGGATCAAAGAATCTGTATCAAATTTTGTGTGAAAAACAAAATTAAGTGCGCGGACGCATTCCGAATGTTGACTGTGGCATATGGTGAAGCTACCTTGGACCGAAGCAACGTTTATCGGTGGTACAAAATGTTTTCCGAGGGCCGAGAAGATGTGAACGACGAAGAGCGTGCCGGACGCCTGAGCACGTCAACAACAGACGAAAACATTGATAAAGTGAAGAAAATAGTATTGATCAATAAGGAATATTACCTGCAAGTTATGCGCAAATTGCGCGAAGCAATCCGCCAGAAACGCCCGGATTTGTGGAAGAACAAAAATTGGCTTTTGCACCATGATAACGCCCCTGCTCACACATCGTTGCTTGTGCGCGAATTTTTGGCCAAAAACAACACTAATAATGCCGCAGCCACCGTATTCCCCAGATCTGGCCCCCTGTGACTTTTTCTTGTTCCCGAAACTGAAGAGGCCCATGAAAGGACGACGCTACGCTACGATTGAGGAGATAAAGACGGCATCGAAGGAGGAGCTGAACAAGATCACAAAAAATGATTTTTTGAAGTGCTTCGAGGATTGGAAAAAACGTTGGCACAAGTGTATAATATCTGGTGGAGATTACTTTGAAGGGGACAAAATAGATATTCATGAATAAATAAATAATTTTTGAAAAAACACAAAATTCGCGATACTTTTTGAACACACCTTGTAAATGATTGCCAGTCTGGTCGACTTTTAACTTTGAGGAGAGATTTTTATTAATTATTACTGGCGAACCTTAAGGATTATTATTTGTTCTATTATTTCCTAATCTACGAGAATCTATTTCTAAATGTGCCCAAACGATTCCCAAGCGATTGGTATAACTGATAATAGGTAAATATAAAATTTGTCTACTAAATAGATGGAGGTACCGTGGTTACGCTATTCTGAAGGACGGCACATAGGGCGTATTGCGCAGAACGTGTAACTAATACAACCAATCGTAAATTTGAGTTTCCGTTGTGTGGTGTATTTATTATTTGAGATTTTACGTGAATCAGTAGGAATGCGAGGATATAAATATCTGGGATTAATTAATATATAACTCTTGATCTTTATTATTATATGGGCAACCTGCTCTGTATACTCTCTGCACTACGGGAGCCGGCAGGTAACTGGCGGCTCCCACTACGCTTACGCTGCGGCACACGCGTATTCTGCTCACGCATTCTCACGCACACTCATGCTCATACTTTGCATACATTACAACTCCCCTCTTTTTAGTTTGAGTATAGGGCGATTTATTCGCTAATCTAGACGATCGTCGCGGAGTGACAAGCATGTTACTGGTATCATTTTTGCGCTTCGCTTTTTCACTTAAATCGCTGTTACGCTTTGCAGGTTTGATTCGCCCGTTACATGTGTTGATATCGCGAAGAGAATCTACAATTGGCGCTTCCGAGTCTCCTCTTTTTGGAACTGGCTTTAACGCTAAACTTACAATTTGATTTGCATGGCGTTTAGTTGTGAAACCGTCTGCGAACTGTATCGTGTACATACTTGGTGACAATTGTTTGACTATAGTCGCTTGTGCGTTATCAAGAGTATCTTTACGATAGTCTTTAGCATATACAATATCGCCTTTTTGGAGTTCTATACACCTCTTACCATGTGTAGTGCGTTGTTGAATAAATTGATTGTCTTCTACTGTTCGTCGTGTGTCGCATTTAAGCAGATCAAATCTAGTTTTTAGTTGTCGCTTGTACATTAATTGGGCTGGTACTACATTTGTAGAACAGTGTGGTGTGTTACGGTAATCTGCTAGAAATCTGTTTACAGAGAAGTCTAGTGAATGACCATCTTTTATTATTTTCTTTATTTTATCTTTAAAAGTTTTTACAAAATTCTCCGCTGCGCCGTTAGTGGCTGGGTAAAATGGTGCGGAATAAGTATGTTTAATGCAAAATTGTTTCAGATAAGCTGCAAATTTCTCACTTGTAAATTGTGTTCCATTGTCGCTAACTATGTGATTAGGATAGTCTTTATCAACAAAAATCGTATCTAGCTCTTTAATCAAACTTTTCGCAGTAGTGTCGTTTTTCATGTTAACTACAATAGGCCATTTGGAATGAGCGTCGACTATAATTAAAAACATACAATCATAAAATTTAGCAAAGTCCATGTGTATTCACGACCATGGATGACTGGGCCATAACCAGAGGGTTAGTGGTGTTTTAGTAGGATAAAGTCTTGATCCCCCCCGTCGACCACCACTTTGCCGTGGTGGGGGGGCTCACCTTTCGCAAGGGAATAGCCTTGCGAGGGGTGCTAAGAGTGGTCGGTACCTCCTGTGGAGGTACTTCTGGCTTGGTGGGGCCACAGGGTTTCGACCCACCACCCCTAGACGGTCACCAGGTTAAAAAGACCAAAAAAACTAAATATGGAGGGACAAACATCAACGAGAAAACGTACCGGCCCAGGGGTTTCGGATGCCCCAGGGCCCGGCGGGGGGGGGGGTATCATCCCGGCCTCCACCCCGTCGTCAACGAGCGACGGGTGCGAGGACGAAGACGTGAGGTCGACGGATTCGTCGGCGGTCATGTCGGAGGAGGGGGGGGTATATAACCCCAAAGCGGTGAGGCCGAAGGCATTGCTTCCGGGCCTCATATGGGAAAGGGATTTGGCCCCGTGGTGGAGCGAGTATGACGTCGATGTCCCCACGGAGGAGCTCTTCCACTACTCAATGAGTTGAGCCCCGCCGGTTGCGGGTAAACTCTGGCCCCTAACGGGGCGGAGGAAGGTCGCAACCGGGGGGGGCCAAGAATGAGGGGGGGCCACATGTCCCTGGCGGGCGGGCATTGCTCTCCCATCCGGGGCGCCTGGACCCCTCTCAAGGACGGAGACGTGACGTGTGAGGCCCTCTCACCGGGAGCCATAAGGCACCGGTGGGAGGGCAACACCGTCCACGGAAGGGGGTTTCTCTCAGAAGGAGATCTCCTTCTGAGAGAAACCCCCTGATGAGGGCTCCCTCAGTGAACCGCCGAACCGGACCACTCTCTTGGGGGTCCGAGGGTTGCGACACTGGGGGGGCGTGGGGCGATGGCTCGAGCGGGAATTCTTGAGCCATGGCTCCGCCCCTCAAACTCTTTGAGAGGGCGCGGCGTGGGGTTGATACCGCCCTGCGCCGCAACCACGAGGACCCCGTACGATGACGGGGGGAGGGTGTCGCCTTCCGCGGCACCCTCCCAAGGAGGGATAAGGCGGGGGGGCGGCCAGTCGGCATGGGATACCAGCATCCTGGCCGTCCCCCATCAACGCCCGTGAAGGTATCCGTAGCGGTTTTAGTGCGGTAGACCTGTCTCGACTCTCCGGCCCGTTACGACGGACCGGCCAGGCGAGGCAGGGAGTCCCACATAACCGCCTGACCTCTTCCCGGAGGCAGGGGTATCCATAAAGGATTTCCGCTACAAAAAAAAAAAAAGATAAAGTCTTGATTCAAGACAGTTAGAACAAGAATTAGCTAAATTTTCTATGTCAACATAGATATGAGGCCACCAGAAATAATTACGTGCAATATGTTTTATTTTAACTATTCCTAGGTGAGAGGAGTGAATCGATTTTAAAATTTGATTTTGCAAAGTTTCTAGAATTATGATTCTGTGTCCACGAGATAAGCAACAGTTTTCATAATTCAATTCGTGACGTTTGTTGTAATAGCTTTTCTCTATTTCGGTTAGTTTTGAAATTTCAGGCCACTCTGTTTGAATATATGTAACTATTTTTCTCAAGTTTATCGTGACTAAGCGCTTGTTTTACCGCTGGGAAGTCTAACATAGGACACTCTTCTTCTATGTAATTAATGTGTGTGTATTCAGTTTCAAAAATTAATGTGCTATCGTCAATCGGTAGTCTTGATAATGCGTCGCAATTTCCATTTGCTCGTGATTTTACTACTTCGATTTTGTAACGATAACCGGACAAGAAATACGCCCATCTTTGTAGACGACTATGCAACATGGTTGAAATGTTTTTTGACCCGAAAATAAATTTCAAAGGTTCGTGATCTGTTTTTAAGATTATCTCGTTGCCGTAGATATATTGGTAAAATTTTTTAAAGCCGAAAATTATGGCTCTTGCCTCTTTATCAATAATGGCGCGATGCCTTTCACTTTTAGGAATGATCTTTGAAGCAAACGCAATTGGACGTTTCTCGCCGTTCGCGTACCGATGTGATAAGATTGCCGATAGTCCGTGGTTACTCGCGTCACACGCCAGTACTAGTTTTTCGTTTGGATCAAATAAAGCTAACACGTTATCCGAAGTTATTTGGCTTTTGATCCAATCAAAACCTCTTTGGCATTTTTCGTTCCATTCAAAATTTTTACTTTTACATAAATCATAAAGTGGTTTTACGTAGTCAGCTCTGTTTTTTAAGAATCTTTCATAGAAGTTGACTAAGCCTAGGAAGGCTTCTAGTTCTTTGACATTTTTTGGACTTGGTACATTTTTTATTGCATTAATTTTAGACTCACTTGGCTATAGCCCCCGGTTATTAATAACAAAGCCTAATATCTCTATCTTCTCTTTAAAAAATCACACTTTTCGAGATTAACCCTTAGGCCAGCTTTTTCTAATTTATCAAATATTTTTGTTAGCATTTCGAGATGCTCCTGATCAGTTGCACCTGTACAATAAATATTGTCTATATATATCTCGGTATTTTTTACACCTTCAAGTATTTCTTCTATAATGTCCTGGCATTCCGCGGGACTTGAGGCTATTCCTTCGCCTAATGTAGTGTATCGATATAACCCTTCGTGAGTAATAATAGTTAAAGCTTCTCTGGACTCGTCGTCTACTTCTAATTGCATAAAAGCATGACGTAAATCTACTTGAGACCATTTATTTCCAATTCTAAGAGTATTAAATATTTTTTCCTTCAAAGGTATAGGGTGTCTTTTAATTACAAGCTGTGGGTTAACTGTTAATTTAAAGTTTCCACATATGCGAACATCACCGGTTTTTCTAAGAACAGGAATAATCAGGGTCGCCCATTTACTGCAAGATATTTTTTCTAGGTTACCTAATTCTACTAGTCTTTGGAGTTCTTTGGAAATTTTAGGTAATAAAACAAAGGGTGCATGGTACGGCTTCGATTGAATTGGCTTGGTGCCTTCTTTAAACACCAAATGAATTTTCCGCCCATTATAGCATCCTTGGGTATTAGAGAATAAGTCTGGGAACTTTTCCAGCATCCTTTGCTTTACTCCCTCGCTTGTTAGAATCTTATGAATATTAGATTTTTGAGGGTTTTTCATAAGTAAATTAATGGGCCATAAGTCGAATGCTTTTAGCCACTGTCTACCTAAGAGCATTAAGCTTTTACCTTTGATTACATATATGTCCAAGATTTTCTCAATCATGTTGAGTTTTACTTTTAAGTTTTTTAATTTATCTAGTGGCTGTAAAACATTACCATCATAGCTTGTTGATACAATTTCGACTTTGTCAAGTGTTAAGTTTGAAAAATATTTGTGCCTATCGTGCTCTGAAATGGCAGTGACATACGTGCCCGTATCTAGTTCCATTTTTATCGTACGATTGTTTACTTCAATATTGACAAACATAGGGTCGGCTTTAATTTTATAGCATTGACAGTTATTGAATTCATGTTCACTTTCGATGGTTTAAGAATCAGAATCTTCGCTTTCATCTCTAAGTAAGTGAAGATTTTTTCTTTTTTCTTATAAAACTTATTACCTTGACTGTTTGATTCAGGTTTTTCTCCTTTTTTTCTTTGGCATGCTTCTTCGTAATGTCCTTGTTTTTTACAATATTCGCAAAATGCGCGTTCTTTGAAAAGACAGTTTCTTGACAAGTAGTTATTTCTACCACAGCAATAGCAGTACAAATTAGAGTTTGAAGAAAAGTTTGAACGTTTTTTATTGGAGTTTTTATTACCGCTGTATTTTGCTTCTGCCCGCTTAGTGCCGTACGAAGTTGTTTTCTTTCCGCCTCGCTGCTGCTGATGTCCCATGTGTTGGATGTCGCTGGGCCCGGATTGCTTCTGGCTCTTGTTGGCACTTTTTACAGCTGCTTCTTTGGTTTTTGCAATCTTCAGCGCCTTGGAAAAGGTGAGATTCTGTTCGCTGAAGAGCGCAATCCGTGTTTCCTGGTCCTCAACGCCGCAGATGAATCTATCACAGAGAGCATTATCTGGCTTATCAAAATTGCAGTTTAACGATAAGTCTTTTAATCTTGCTACGAATTCGCTTATCGATTCGATTGGTTTTTGTACTGCTTGGCTGAAAGTATATCGTTCCATTTTTGTGTTTTTCGTTGGAGTTATATGGTCTCCTAGTATCTTAGTTAATTATGCAAAAGTTTTTGTATTAGGTTTTTCTGGTGCACATAAATTAATTGCTAGTTTCAAAATTTCATGACCGGCTTTTGTCAGAAATAATGGAGTTTTTTGCTCCTCCTTAGTGTCATAACCTGCGAAAAATAATTCTCATTTCAATATGTATTCATCCCATGTATAGAAATTCTTGTTGTACTCCATGTTATCCTGTTTCTCCATGGTGGTTTCGACTTCTTGATTTTCTTCGCCAATCTCTACTGATGTTTCCTTATTTTGTTTATTTTGTTCCTGTGCTTGCAGAACTGACTCACTTGTTTTTGGTTTTCTTTCTTGTGGCATCCTGACGGATTTTTGATTTTGTACGTCACATAATTTTCGTAAATTTTACGTAAGTCTTCTAAAGTACATGCTTTAGCAATATCTCCACTTGAAAACTGTGACAGTAGTTGTTCAGCTTGATCCTTAAATAATAATTGGATAATTATCTTGGAAAAATCGACTTCATCCATCGATTAGCATTGTCTGTCGACCAGCTACGCGCTGTGACTGTAGGTTGCCTACACACGCGAGAGAGACGGGTAGTGTCGTGCCCTCTTGTCTGCTATGCTCCGTCTGAGTGATAGAGATAGACTGATGCTGTATTCGCGATCTTGCTGCGCAGATAATCACTTGTCTCGTGGTCGTAATTTTGCCGGAAACGATCGACCTCGTGTCGGTCCTTTTCTCGTTCAGGTTTGCCCTCTAAGTTTTGGATCTTTAGCGACAATCTGATTATATGACTTATGCACACTTTTTTCTTTTCTGCAGCCTCTTTTTCGGGATCTGGACTTTATTAGTGTCAGGCCGTGATGTAAGGATATCACTTATCTACCTTTTCTCCACTTGCACTTAGTTTTTATCTTTTATCCTCGTCGCCAATGTGGTTGTTGCGGATTGAAGAGAGAGAGAGAGAGAGAGAGAGAGAGAGAGAGAAAGAGAGAGAGAGAGAGTGTGTGTGTGTGTGTGGGTGTGTGTGTGTGTGTGTGTGTGTGTGAATGCATCTTGGAGTGCATTCTGCGCCTTGCAACAAGCGCAGCTAACTGCGTTGAAAATAGCCGCTCGAATTTGGCGCGACGATTCGCACTAAATCTCCGTGCGCCAATCGCGAGCGAACGCGCCCCGCCATATCGCAAGACCGCGCGCGTCTTTAACGCTCGCAATACCTGTCGTTTGAACGGTGACAGGTAACCGTATCGTAACAAACATAAAACCGACGACAACAAGTGATTTTGCCCTCCGACATTCGAGAGGATTCTATCATTATGTGGAAGGAACACAAACACGGTGTTCCTTACCTCGGAACTCTCTCGAAGGTCGGTAGAAAACAATCACGTTGGTTCACGCTCTTTCTTGTCGAACGGATCTATCGTCGTACAGTCGTTCGCGCGTACAGACAGCGTTACTTTTTTCTCTTCTCGATTTTCGTCGCACTTCTCGCGGGAGATCGATTTTGTCGTTGGATTGCACTTCCGGCAATCATTGCACGCTTCTAATTGCAGTTCGCTTGCATTAGAGCATTTCTTTTGTACTGTATAATTATTTGTAAAAATATATTGTGTGCCGTGAACTTTTTTTATTTTCTTTTTTTTCTGTGCCGTCCTAAACTTGACACTCGCGTCCGCGCACTAACTATAATCACTCCGCGTAGCACCGAATATTGCACAGTGGTGTATTTATTATTTGAGATTTTACATGAATCGGTAGGAATGCGAGGATATAAATATCTGGGATTAATTAGTATATAACCCTTGATCTTTATTATTATATGGGCAACCTGCTCTGTATACTCTCTGCACTACGGGAGCCGGCAGGTAACTGGCGGCTCCCACTACGCTTACGCTGCGGCACACGCGTATTCTGCTCACGCATTCTCACGCACACTCATGCTCATACTTTGCATACATTACACGTTGTATGTTTTAACAGAAATGCTAAATAGGACTTGTGATTGATTTTCGTAACCTACGCGTCCCGAATAATACGTTTCATGGGAAACCGATGCTTTGGGTACCGTAAAACGCGCATATTTAAAATGGCTGGCAAGGTGGCAAGATAAACGAAGTAGAAGACGAGAAGTAATCAATGCAGGACAGCTTAGCATTTTGCAGCATTTTTAAAAAAATAATATGTACAAAATAATGCATTAAGATGTTCATATTGCTCAAAATTCTCAAAAATTCATACATGTAAAACAAGAAATCAATATATGTTAAATATTAGAGAAAGAGAAAACAGATTTCAAATGAAAAAAGTACGAAGATCTACTAATATACAATTTAACCTTGAAATTTTGTATCACATGTCGTGAGCAGTAGACTGTTTAGTATAATCGAACGCTAAAAAGCTTTATACACAAAATTAGATTTTTGTTAACTTATTAGGAGACGCGGTAGTGTCTCCGGCCATGTTCAAACCCTAAAAGACCTTAAAAGACACTACAAGTCTCCTTATCCTGCACCATCAAAGTCCATTTTTTGGGGGTGTAGAACTACTAAAATATAAAAAATTTTGAATTGCACGTAATATAACCTGAAAGGCGGCATCGCCACGAGTAATTTGAGCCAAGAAGGAATAAAATCGGTCAAGCCGTTCTGGAGATACAAGCGGTCAAAAAGTGACGTTTTTCATGAAAAATGAAGTAACGTCGTCTTCTTCTTCTTCTTCTTCTCTGTCCGCGTCCGCTGACGTCATCAGGATTATATATATATATATACAGGGTTTGTCCGGAAAGTAATGCGTCGCATTTTTTTGTGACGCGACTATACATCGCAGAGCGATGGGACCGGTTGGGGAGGAAGGGGGGTACCCTTAGCTTTCCAACGGTAGGTCGCTCAATTGTTTCCATGCGCTTGGAGGGTTAGGACGGCTTATTCTGTGAACCTCTGCTTAGTGGTCGCGTCGAACTTGTGATGGAGAGAACGATAGAGCAACGCTATGCGATAAAGTTTTGCGTGAAGCTGGACAAGACGCCGCTGGAAACTTTTGAAATGCTCAAGAAAGTTTTCGGGGACGATTGCCTTTCCAAATCGCAGTCAAACAGATGGCACAAGATGTTTAGAGAAGGTCGGAAGGAGGTCGCCGACGAGGCCCGCGCAGGACGCCCGTCAACATCGCGAACGGACGACAATGTGACTCGTGTGCGCCAATTATTGAATTCAGACCGTCGAATGAATGTTCGCTTAATGTCGGAATTATTGAACTTGCCGAAAACGATTGTTCACGAGATTGTATCGGAAGACTTGGCCATGCGGAAGATTTGCGCAAAACTTGTGCCCAGAGTGTTGACCGATGCGCAAAAGCAACACCGAGTGGAAGTTTGTGAAGAACTCAAGCAACTCTGTGCAGATAATCCCAATTTCCGGCGGACTTTTTTTTATTTCCTCGGCTGAAAAGGGAGCTCAAAGGACAACAGCTCGAGTCGGTTGACAACGTACAAGCTACTTCGACGGCCTCCCTGAACAGCATCCCAGTCAAGGAGTTCCAGAAATCTTATGACGCATGGAAATCGCGTTGGCAAAAATGTATTGACGCAGAAGGGTCATACTTCGAACAATTTTAAGTTGTTTTACCTATGCGATCAATAAATTCTTTTTTAAAAAAATGCGACGCATTACTTTCCGGACAAACCCTGTAATATATATATAAATCTCTTCTCACCTTTCACTCACACCTCCCTCAACTTCCCCACCCCCCTTTCCTCCCACATACCGCCCCCCTCCCACCCCACCCCACCACCACTCCCACTCCTCTTTTGCCCTAACTCACCCTCTTTCGTCTCTTTCACCCTCTTTCGTCTCTTTTCACCCTCTTTCGTCCTCTTTTACCCTCTGTTGTCCTCTTTCACCCTTCACCTCTTTTGTCACCCTCTTTTGTCCTCTTTCATCCTCTTCGTCCTCTCTTCACCATCTTTCGCCTCTTTCACACCTCTTTCGTCCTCTTTCACCCTCTTTCGTCCTCTTTCACCATCTTCGCCTCTTTCACCACCCTCTTTTGTCCTCTCTCACCCTCTTTCATTCTCTCTCAACCTCTTTCACCCTCTTTCATTCCCCTCTCACCCCCTTTCGTTTTTTCACCCTCTTTCGTCCTCTCACCCTCTTTCGTCCTCTTTCATTCACCCTCTTTCTTTCGTCTTACCCTCACCCTCTTCGCCTTCCTCTCTCTCCCCCTCTTTCACCCTCTTTCGTCCTCTTCCACCCTCTTTCATTCCCTCTCACCCTCTTTCGTCCTCTTTCACCCTCTTTCGTCCTCTTTCATTCTCTCTCACCCTCTTTCGTCCTCTTCTCACCCTCTTTCATTCTCTCTCACCCTCTTTTGTCCTCTTTCATCACCCCTCTTTCGTCATCTTTCACTCTCTTTCGTCGTCCTCTCTCACCCTTTTCATTCTTTCTCATCCTCTTTCACCCCTCTTTCGTCCTCTTTCACCTTCTTTCACTCTCTTTCGCCCTCTCTCATCCTCTTTTCGACCTCTTTCACACTTTTTCGTCCTCTCTCACCCTCTTTCGTCTTCTTTCTTTCACCCTCGTACGTCCTTTCTCACCCTCTTTCGTTCTCTTTCACCCTCTTTCGCCTATCTCGTCTTCTCTTACCCTCATTCGTCCTCTCTCACTCTATCTCCAAAAAATCATAAAATGAAAAGGTCAAGCCATGTTCAAAAAAAGGTCCTCAAAAATTTAAACCTAGTCTGTACAATGAAAATAATTACTCGTAATTCCAGAGTTCTAATTTGTTAATATCGAATAATGTATTTGTTTCAAGTAATGGCAGTAGAGTCAAATACATACCTACGTATATGCAGTTTTTTGCTGTTAATTGTACTTGAACAAAAAAATAATTAAATGATTTAAATATAGCACATTTTAAATCAAGAAACTTATATAATCAAACTCTGTTTAGGAAAAGGTAGAACATTTCATTTGCCTCTGCCTTTACAAGAAACATTGGATAAGGTATGTCCTCCGGAAGATCCTATAAATTTGAATCACGAGTTGCACATTCTCGTTTGAGGTATACCCAAGAAATCTAAAGTGGTTTGGGAAAATTTGGTAGATATTAATAAAATGTATAAGGCTTTACAATGGTTGAAAGAAATAATCCTCATTACTCAAAAATTCGTCTTCCAGCGTCATCTGATGATCTATTAAAGGATAAGTTGCAGGAAACAGAATATAGGATTGTCGATGAGGAAGCGACAATGACGAAATAATGAGGTGGTTGAGGAATTACCAGCATTGAATTTGTACAATGTACAGCAAAACAAAAATAATAATGATCAAACCGTTTTAAACGTACGGCTTTTCTCAC